ATTAGGGTCTCCAGTGCCTTGGTGTTGTGCAAAGGCGACTCTTGAACGTTAAGAGTCAAGGCGGAAATTTTATCGCTCAGGGTACCAGACGCCATAATGGTCGAGTAGAACTTGTGGGAAGAAGAAGCAGATGCCCTCTGGGCGGCCGCATACTCTTCATTTTCTTCCTGTAGCAATTTGTTGGCCAGCTCGTGGACGCGCTCCATAAGATGGCGGGGCAAGGCATTCATATGTTTCGTGTCTCCGGCAGAGGAGGGCATAGGGATATTATACCAGTCGGACCGAGGAAGAACATTCTATAATTATCATATTAGCAAAAACCGTTCTGGTGTCAGGGCTGCCCACAACTTACCAGCTTCAAGTACTCCTTGGGTACTACTGATTCAGACTGCTTTGCCTTCGGAGTGGGGGCTTCCTCAATATCGGATTCTGGCCCGCTGCTCTCTGCATCATTGTCCTCGCTGTCCTCAATATCATCCTCGCTCTCTATTTCCTCTTCGACATCTTCGACTTCGTCATCCGCCAGATCCTCGGGCACGACGTGGCCTGAAGCCTCCAACATGCTAGAGAGCTGCTTCCGAAGATCATCGTCAACCTTGCCGGATTCACCCTCAACTTCAGACTCAGAGTCGACACCAGCAAGTAGATCGAGATCCTCCTCGGTACCACCCATAGCTAGAATTTCTTGGCGCAGTGTTTCGTCGTCGTTGCTCTTCTTGCCAGCTTTGGGCTTTTCTTGCTTGGTAGTTCCACCCTTGATCTGCTCGCGAGCAATCACCTCGCCGTTGCGATCCCGCTTCTTGCCTTGCGCAGAATCTTGAGGGCGGCCGGGTTTGGCGGGAGATTGTTTTCCTTTGTTTGCGGAAGCGTTGGTAGTAGGGGCCGGTGGCTTGGTATTATCTTTCTTGCCTTTCCCGGTGCTCTGGTTCTGGTTCTTCAAACGTTGTTCGATTTTTTGTCGTAGGCCTGCGAAGGCACTCTCGTCCGGCATGGATGGCATAGTTTCGGCAGCGGGAGCTAAGACGCTCGTCGCAGGAGCAATCTCATTAGCTCCCGATGAGCGCTTTCCTTTCCCTGCAGCCATGGTGTGTTTTGTTTGCGGTTGACTGGTGGAGGAAAGAAAATTGAACGGAGAAATCTTTTGCGGCGGGTTATCGGGGCGCTCGGACCAACGCGATAAGAAACATCGAAGGGAGACTCGGCTTGCTCTACAATTTATTTTGTGTTTAGCCAGCAACTCAATTGCCAAAATAATAGCTTTCGACGCCTTGAAATATCTTGATCGATGATTTCTAGGCTACGTCCTCTATCGGGGCCCATAGCCGGGCGGCGGCTAGCGTTGAGCCTGCGTGTTCAGCAATGCAATCTTCATGTACGCGCTTCCAAAGAATTTGGTTAAATACCCTTGATAGTGAGTACTGACTCGATGCAGGTTGACGGCAGAAGCCGTGTTTCAAATATCTGGATCCCTACTGGTGGAATTTCCAAGAAGCCCGTTGATGGTGAAAAGGGTACGCCGTTCAGAACCCCGATAGGGAATTGATTGTCACCAGATGTTAACGAAGATCTAGAGGATGGCAATGACCTGCTAGTCCGAGGTGGTTTCCTTCGACAGGTGAGCAGTCACATCTTTATATCCAAGTAAATATCTGACGGTCCTCCAGGCATACTCTGGAGTGTTTCATTTGCTCCCACTTGGTTTACGTGTTCAAGATAAGCTTGAGCGACTGATTGACAAGCATATGCGCTCACTTGGTATGGAATATACCCTGTGTCAGACATGGGATGATAACTAAAGCAAATTCAGGCGCATCCAAGGTCTCTTTGTCCTCGATATCCTCGCAAGAACTATGGAAACAGTCTGGCAGACTGACGGACGGCTCAGAAGTAGGTTGGATCATACCCACTGTCTTTCATAATGTCACTAACATCCGCACTAGCTATTCCGATTCAATGATCGGAAAGACACTCCATTTCTCTTAGCCCCAACACACGAGGAAGAAATTACAACACTTGTGGGGAATCTAACAACATCATACAAGAGCCTGCCTCTGCGGGTATATCAGATCTGTGAGACTCTTTATTTGTTTATTGTGTGTGAATTTCACTGACGGAATTATAAATGAAGCGCGGAAGTACAGAGATGAAGCCCGGCCCAGACAGGGCCTGCTTCGCGGGCGAGAGTTCATTATGAAAGACCTCTATACATTTGACTACAGTGTCAGCGAAGCACTTAAAACATATGACGCAGTCAAACATGCCTACACGCAATTATTTAATGAACTCAAGATTCCCTACCTAGTCGCGGCAGCCGACTCGGGGAATATGGGTGGCTCATTGAGCCATGAGTACCACTTCATCAGCCCCAAGGGCGAGGACGAAGTGGTCAGCTGCTCGCACTGTGACCTTGTCTATAACGAAGAACTTGCAGACGGCAAGACGCACAGCTCTGAGGAGTCCGAGCAGACCACGGCACCTGGCTTCCAGACCGATGATACACTCGTCGAAGGTGGACCCACAATCTCAACTGGCATGTGGATGGCTATCTCTCACGATAGCAGAACCATCGTACGGAGCTGGCACCCCAAGTTTTCAATGCAGAACGGCGCGACAGAGCCTGTTGAGCGCCATGTCAACTCACACGCCGTCAAGGCGGTGGCCACCGCCGCTGGTATTGACCTCGATCTAAGCGTGGAGAACCCACTAGAGCGATGGACCGCCCACGTAAAGGCAAACAAGCCCTCCGCGCCTAAGCCGCGCGTGTTGGATCTATACGATTCACAGGTTCGGGTATATCAGCGCCCGCCGCTAAGTGATCTTCTCCAGGAAGTTGGCTGCACGGCCTCGGACATAGATTACTCTAAGCTGGACCGATTCCCTGGGACTTCAAACAAACTCAGTCTTGTCCGTGTGCATGACGGGGACCAGTGCTCACAGTGCGCGCATGGCTCGTTGACTAGTCACTCTGCCGTGGAACTAGGACACACATTCCACTTAGGAACGCGATATAGCAAAGTCTTGAATGCGTCTGTTTCTGTCAACTCTGCTCTTCTTGAGGGATCCTCAGATGCAGGTGCGAAATCTTCGGCCAAGGAACAAATCGTTCCCATGCAGATGGGATGCCACGGTATCGGCGTGTCGCGTATGATCTCCGCAGTGGCGAACCGCCTTGCGGACTCCAAGGGACTGAATTGGCCACGTGCTATGGCGCCCTACGAGGTTGTGGTGGTTTCAGGAAAGGGGCTGGAAACCGTTGCGGATCAGGTCTATGATAATCTTACCGGCGACGCCGCGGCCCCTGTCGATGTTATCCTCGATGACCGGGACAAGGGCATGGGCTGGAAACTTGGCGACGCAGACTTGATTGGATACCCTATTATTGTTGTTGTTGGCAGTGGGTGGAAGAAGAAGGAAACTTTGGAGGTGCAGTGCCGTCGTTTGGACGTTAAGGAAGATGTGTCGTTGGGTGAACTTCGCACGTTTGTCGAGTCCTTGTTGGAAAAACTGTGAATGGCTGGAAGCGACAGCATGTAATATTAGCAAGTCAATCTGTACATTATCTCATCTCTGATCAAGCTACCTATAACTGTAAGGCCACCAGGGCTGGCTCCCAATATTCTTAGCAATGGTGAGCAACAACAAAGCATGAAACCCGAGGTACCATCTTTCATGCCTCAACTTTCGTTGATATATAGAGTAGACACGTGAGTTCTACGCAGGCAATAATTGAACACAATAGTGTATGATATCCATTACGGGGCACAGTAGCGGTGTAGTTGATAAGGCGTGAGCTCCTTGACCATTTCCAAGTAACGCATCAAATCGATAACGCTCAATATCCACTTTTACTCCGGATTTCACGTTTTCCGTAGTAATCGACTGTTTGAGGTTCTCCACGGGGTTGTCCACGCCGAACACTCCGGTCCGAATACTCCGGTTTGTCTTACTCCACCCGCCGATATAGAAATGGCTCTGACTCATTAAAAGGGCATTGATTCTATCTTTTTGGCTCCTGTTAGATTATTTTTATACTTATTTTCTACGACAATTTATTACCTGTCTTCACAAATCAATCTAAACATCGCATCATGACCCAGACCAACATTCACATTCCAAGCCTCGGCGGAGCCAATGCCTTTACCCGGACTCTGAGCAAGGAAGATGTGAAGATCTGCGTAGCTGTCGAGGAAGCCTTTACAGAGGCGGAGCGATGTTCCGAGGAGAAGGTAAGCCAGAGCTGATCCAAATGAGCAATTCATGAGATTGTTTCTTCTGACACGGAGTAAGTTCTGTTATCGTCTGGGAGCATGCCCGGAGCTATGCCTAGGACTGTTTGTGGAGGGTGAGCAAGACTCAGCTTTACCTACACTCATTGGGCACGTCATTGCAGTCCGCTCTCCCTATACACGTATCACGGACGGATCGATGTCAATGCCGGAGAATTGGCGATCACTTGATGATGAGCCCGTTTTTGTCGATGATGAGTTAATCGGGAATCACAAGTATGGTGATAACATTGCGATTCATTCTGTTGCTATTTCGCCAGAGTATCAGGGCAAGAAGGTTGGGAGAGCTCTCGTCCGGGCGTACCTTGAGCATCTTGGGAGAGGGTGTTTTGGGGCTAGCAAGGTTGTGCTTATTGCGCATGACTACTTGGTGAATTTCTATGAGAGTGTTGGGTTTAAGAACCAGGGCAAAAGTCCATCCACCTTCGCTGGTGGTGTTTGGTTTGATATGGTATGTTCATTCGCGATGTGAAGTGAGCATCCAATGCTAATATATGTCGAATAGACTTTTGATCTGGAGTGATCCCAATTTCGGGTTTGATTTCTCGCACTGCAACCATATTATACAGGATTGAAGCGACTTCACAGGCAACAAGGAACGTGGCACCCAGAATAAAGATAGCGTTGGGAATAAATATAGAATCTTTTGTAGTACCTTTTCTTCCAACTCGACCAACTACTACTCACAATGTCTTTTGTGAGCAAAATCGAAGGTTACCTGTCATCATCTTCAAGGTAGCCACTGGACCGGGTCTGCTGGCTTCCATGCCCCTCGGAGCCCTCTGAAACGCCATTCACATGCTTCAAATCTTCCAAGTCAATCATCACAAAGGATTGTGACATGGGATTCCACAGCACATTGCGGAAGGCTGCATCTCTCTGAATAACTCCGTGTTCTTGAAATTTGTCCTGAAGTTTCCATATATCCTGTTCAAGGAGCTGACATGTTTCAAGGGTGGCATGTTCCTCCGTTCGCATACCAGACCAGCTGAGGAGCAGCATGTATTCCATTCTAACCCCGTGATACCAATATGGGATCTTGGATGAAAACATCCCAAAACATACAGGAATTTGACACCCCTGCAACGACATCAGATTCTCATAGTTCCGAAATGCAGCATGGATCCTGCGTGACCGTCTCATACTGGTGGCCTTGATCAACATTGTATACCCATGTGACAGCAATGTTGCTTTAACAGATAACAGACTCGACCGGTAATGTGCAGCTGCTGGAATCCTCTATACCGATTCGCTCGAAGTTGTTCATTTATCCTGTTGCAGATCTCCTGTGAGCTAATTTGGTGTTTTACTACACCGTGCCGATCAGCGTTCGGACAGTTTTGATCCAAAAGATCCTTTTCAAAGGTGCCCCGGAGGCATGTCTGGGTGCAATAAGGCCGAAAAACGTCTGACTCAGAGGGCTGTGGACCGGAGCCTCCAGGATCCCCCTTTGGTATGTTTGTATGCAGAAGATTGCCCCAGAATCTCGGCCAGAATGAGTTTTCATACATGAACTCCGCTGGTGGGCTGAGTCGAAGGTCATCCGGGGCTTGGGGCATGAGTATTGAGTAATCACCTTTGAGAGGGCGATAAGATTGATAAACTGCATCTTGCCATTCCTGCGATGGTGGAGTGGAATCTAAAGATTGCAGTGCGAAAGCGAGGACTTGGCCCAAAGCCGTACGGCAAACCCAGTTTGAATGCGGATTATAGCCATGAGACCCGACGTCTTGCTGGGAACTCAGAGATAGTATTCGACAACGCTACAATCATCTAAAGGGATGTGAAGAAATACCAAGGCCGCTCCTGTGTAGATATACCCATACCGGCGTCCAGAGCAAATCATTCTTGAATAGACTCGAACAATCGCCTGCAACCAGTTCGGGCACCGTCAGACAAAACGATGGAATATACAAAACTGCGTACGCCGGCTCTTCGAATCCGAATTTCGCAACAGCAACGCAGCAATCATGCGGGCGGTCGAAGTTCAATTGTCCGCGAACACTGAACCTGTATCGCAGTGTGTCCTTTTGTTCTATAAAATTAATAATCATCCCGAGGAAATCGTCCAGTGTTCTGTGCGCAAATTGCTTCAATGTGTCTTCCGAATGCACCGAGTACCATTGCAGAAGCTGAGCAGTGTATCGTACGGAGGCTTGTGGGGGAAAAATGCACGCATTGACAAGGTCGGAAGCGCCGAGGATCTTGTCCCACATCCCTTCTTGGAGCTGAGGAAATTGAATCCAAGGCCGGAGCCAAAGGGGGCAGAGTCGGCCATCCTCTGGGAACCAGGCCGCTGGCCAAATCAGCAAACGTACATCGACCCTTAACAATTGCATGAACACATGATGGACGCTCTCAAGACATGGGATCAGTGGGATGTTGGATGGAGGTGGTGGAAGTTGGTCCTCTGCCCGTGTAAACTGGATGGGTGAGCTTGAAGCCTCTGGATTTCCTGTGTTTCCTGTGTTTCCTCCTATGTCTTCGATCATATGGTGCCATTCTGCCCATGTTTGGTCCATGATATAGCGAGGGGATACGAAAATACAAGTCGAAGAATATGCCAATGAAAGTAGGCGAGAAGTCTCTTTGACAGAAGTTTGGAAATTTGAAGACGTGCCGGTTCGTTCCTGCCGAAGGATCCCCTTTTTTTTACCTACAGGTACCCGATATATCTATGTATCACTGCTTCAATAGTCATTGAACAATACTAGAAATTTATTCTGCATATGTAACGACCGGAATTATTGCGATTATCATGTAGGTCACTCTCCCTCACAGGGGTGGGATAAGGAAAACACCAAGTTACCAGTTGTAGAAAAGGCATCAACCAAACAGTTGTAGACTGAAGATATCCAGCGTACGGGAATCTGTGAGAGTTTATCTGACCCCTTCACCAAGTGCAATGATTTGTGGTGGCCTTTCAATCTTCTGTCTAAAGATATATCGCTTTATCCACCAAGGAAGCCACACAGTCAATTCATAGTGAATGAACTTCTTGGTCGGCACTGAGAACACCTCTGCAATGTATGTCAGTATATGGTCATGTATATTCGAGACTTGACTTACGATCCAATTCTTCTAGAGTCAACTGCTTGGTCTCTCTGACGAAGCAGAATATCATAAACCAGGCGAGCAGGTTAAGACCAGCATAGAAGCCAACTAAAACAAGGTTCAGCAATTTGGCCATTACGGTTCAAAAGTGTGTCAACTTACATGCACCGGTTTTGGTCATCACAGTCATCATTCGAGGGAAAGTTAGACTAAGGACGCCAGCTAGGGAAGATATTGTTAATGCGATGCTCAACGGATTCGATAATTGGAATACACACCAAAAGTATTGTTGATGCAAACAGCCCACGCCATTCCTTGTTCTCGCTGAATAGTCGGGAATACCTCAGCGGAATATTGGAAAGCCACTGGTCCTTCGCCTAAGGAGTAGGCAATAGTAAACAGATACACAAACCTAAATAGAAGATATCAATCAGCCTATGCTCAGACAAAGTGGAGATAATTACCAAACTTACAAGACAACTGGCGCAATCATTGCAGCGTGGTTCTTTGTATCGTTTAAAAGAGAGAGGCCACCGGCTAGCAGAAATATGCACATCAAGGGGAATGTCTTCGTAAAAATAACAGTCAGTAATATTCTGCAAAGTATTCTGAAACGACTCACAATCAAGGTCAGGGTTCTTCGGCCTTTGGTGTCGATCAAAAACAAAGTAGGGATGGTAGACACGACTTGAATAGCACCGTAGCCAAGCGACGCATACAAGGCCTGGTCCTCTGTGTAGCCGACATCCCGGAAGATGGTTGAGCTGTAGAACGAAATGACTAAAATGTGTTATCAATGCCCACTCTCATGAGACGAGGCACAAACTTACTGTTAATACCGCACATTTGCTGCGCAATCATAACAGTCGAGGCACCATAGTTAGCCCGTCTGATTCTTGGGACGGCAAAACAGTCCCACAGACGGGAGAAATAGCCTGCACCGCGTGCCTCCTTGAGTTCCTCTTCATAGATAACGTATGAGTAATAGAAGTCCCTTGCAGCGATTATCGGGTGGGCTCGCAACCGCAACATCGACTGGAATCCTTCAGCGTGCCTGTTATGCTTCATAAGCCAGCGAGGAGACTCTGGACAGAAAAAGATGCCAACGCCGAGGACGAAAGATGGAATGAATGCTGAACCGAGCTGGAGACGCCAAGCGATATCTTTGACGTCTTTGACAATAACGTTGGCAGCAAAGCCCAAGAAAATACCTACACTAGAGGTTAGCCATGCTTGCTGACGAGGGACGAGAGATACTCACCCGCTACAACCCAGAGTTGCCAGAACATGACAAGAGCACCTCGGGTTCTGGCCGGAGCCATCTCCGCCGAGTAGATAGGCACCGTAGCGTTCTTTGCACCGATGCCGATACCCATCACAAATCGCGCAGCAAATAGTCCTTGCCAAGACTGTGCAAAGCCAGAGCCAATTGGTGTGGCAGTGAGACAGAGAGCAGTGACGAAAATCTCACCTCGTCGGCCCAAATAGTGGTTAAGTGGATCGACAATCCAAGCACCACTATGTACAAAGTCAGTCGTTAAAGATAAAAGGAGAACAATCCTCACTGATGCTATACTTACATAAGACCAGCGGTCAAGAAGATAATGGAGTTGACGATTCCCACGATCCATTCATCTTTTCCCTTACCAGCAATACCGAATTCCTCAGGGAAGGACAAGTTGGCGCCGTTAGATCCAGTCTGATCCCATCCTTGTGTAGCAGCTCCAACGGCACAGAGGCCAATTGAGTACCAAAGCATAAATGGGCCGTGCCATTTATGGTCCCTCTCGTATGCGAGTGCGGTGCGCTCCTCTTCATCAAGCTCGGGAGCCGATGGGAATTCTTTGGGGCTTCGCGCAACGACAGCGGCCCGGCCAAACAGATCGACGTATTCGCTCATATTATGCGACTCTGCGTACGCCCGGGCATCGATAATAGCCTGCTCCTTGGAGCTGCGCTATGGACATACAGTCAGTAGTCAGTGTTCATGCTCGACACGACCATAGAAGCTGGGGGGTTTTCAGTTGTAGGCTTACCGTCAACGGGTTCTGAACGATGTTGATACCGATAGCCTGGCGGCGCTCAGGTGCATCTGGGTTGGCCGCCTCATCCAGCTCCGTCTTGGCTGGGATCGCATGCTCATAGTGAGGAGGAGGGTCATTAGACGACTTTTCATCCATGATGAGGAGCTTTTGGTTGCTTTTTCAGATTCAGGATATCTCTCGTTTTACGTTTGAAAAAAGTTTTAGGGGGGAGATTGGGAAAGATTGGCTACCCCACAGAATATAAAACGAGATCAAACTTTCCCCGTGGGGGGACCACAGCTGCAGATCAGCCCCGAAGTAAACATGTGGCTTTGCCTAAGGACAGCCACATTATACCACCCGTCAGCACTAAGACGCTAAACAGGATCATAGCACTCCGGGACCAAGTCACAGGAAGGACGCCATAATAGTACATTTGTAAGTTGCGGCGCCATCGACATAGATAAAAGAGCGTCAAGCGAGGCTCGGGAGTGTGTAAGACAGTTGTCCAAATTTCAAAACCGACTCAAGTCTGACAGTAATCATCGACCATTGCCGAATCGACCCTGTCAAAGCGCATGCGGGGGAAGAAGGATGATCATGTAGGCCAAGCCTCGGCCTTTCGGGTCATGCGACATGCATCCTGGTCGTAGGGGAATAGAATAGGAAATATAACGTATATTTTATTACATGTGGCTGATTGCCTGTTTTATTCCCTCGTAAAGCTGAAAAGGAGATGAATCTTTCGGATTGCTGCATCTGCTACATCCCTGCATATGACAAAGAGCGTGTAAGACTGCAGTCAGCATCGGATATACCCGGATCACATGATTCCGCTCAACCCTCTATTCAGCCGCGATCATGATCTTGGAGATATGTGGCTATATTATAGGATGAAACGTGGAATAATATATCCGAGCCATTGAACTCTATTGTGAAATCCAATGCTAATGTCGGTATTCGATGATCTACCAAAGTATGGCGTCACCTTCATTTTAGGTTGGTTACATTATTACAGGTTCCCAAGTGGTCTGATGGGGTGCGTGATTGCCTCGCGCTTTAAGAAATGGAACTCGTCCTCTCGGCGTCCTTATCCTCTAGGCAGGAAGTGACTCCGCCACAAATTCCAATGTCCAGACCTTTCCCGCAGCCTTCTCTCTTCTTGGCTCCGAGCTTGACTGGACCTATAATAGATGGCAGTTATATCATGACCTTGGCGACGTTACTAGCGCCCACGTCTTGAGGAACCCTTACTATTGGATCATCCTCATTCGCCGATCCCCTCTTAATCGACCCCAACTACTTTGACACCTATGTCGACTGCGGCAGTCTTATCCTCGGCAGTCTCGGACTATGCAGGCTCTGCTGGCTACACATACATTGGAGGGTTAAATCGAGACTGCGGTGCTTCCACCTACGAGGCCTGCCTTGTCCTCACAATCGTCAAGTGAGAACTTCGAAGCGCGTATTCGGGCCACCGGTATGACGCACCATAATCCAGCTGGCATAGCCGTGATGGGCAGGGTGGTTGGTCCAAACCTCCATGTCTATGGAGTACAGAGCCTTCGCCCTTTGTGTTGTTCCGGGGTCACCCACAGGCGACTCAGTATGCTATTGCAGATCAGACTGTGGATATTATCTTATTATAGAAAACTGTCAAATTTGAGTTGTACGCGTCTGCGCTTCCTTCCACATTCGGCTATATGTCGAGTTGCAGTTCAGGCTGTTGATAGTCAAGTTTAATCTTATTCTATCAAACACATCCTACTTATGGCAGCAGGCATATAAATGGTCTATCCTTTTGGTCTTGTTTGTGCAGAGGGCTATTTATAAGTCCATATGGTTAAAAATAGACTACACTTTATTCCTATTTCGTTTCTAAATGGAGGCTCTAGTTACTCTTGGGCACTATCTCCCTTTGCCCTCCTTCGTTTTCATGTAAGAAAGAAAACAATAGCTTTCAAGTAACATCCTGAATTCGCCCATGGTTGATAAAGACATTGTTTGGATTTTCCGAGCATCTCATCAATTCGTCGCTTTGTTCTAAAAAAATGTTCTTACAATAGAATGTGTTCCTTTGTCTCTCGAAATACATAGGCTATGCTTGCGATAATCTAACAAGTAGCACAAAGGGTCTCTCGAGTATTTGGCAGTCTGGGAATCCTTCCTAAATCATCAGTATTTCCAACAATTCCAATCGTTTCCAAGTCATTAAATCAAGCCAACAGTCTAACTTCTACAAAAATCGCCTCTGATCAACGTCTTCCAATATGGCTCGATTTTTCACAACTATGAGAACGAATATGAACATAAAGCATGAGGGTTCTTTTTTTGAATCCGTTGGTATTAATATGGCCACGAACCTTGGAGATGCCCAGGCCATCGTCCACTTGCTTCGAGAGATCTACAATCCAATGTTGTATGATTGTCTTTCAACTGGGGGTCATTGGAATTCAGTATTTACAGGTAAGAGGGGATTTGTTATCAGACGTAAGATCACCGCTAGGCACAATGACTTTCCAGCTCTAGTTCTTGCTTATGTCCCAGATCGAGCAGACCTCACCGAGCGTCTGTTCGATCTTCTTCGATTTTACCGCTTCACTGATCCTGCATGGAGAGCCGTAGATCCTAGTTATTCTATTGTTGACCCTGTCCCTGTCCTCCCTCTTCCTGCTGCTTCAGGTGGCCTTGCCCCTCGCCCTCCGCCAGCCCCTGCTCCTCCTCCTATTATTCCTCTCGCTTTTATCACTGCTCCCGATCTTCATCCTGCTACTCCTACTGCTGGTCCTCCTATTCATCCTGCTTTTTCTGGTCCTTCTATTCCTATTTCTAGTATTCCTCTTCGTACTCCTGCTCCTACTGCTTCTCGTGCTCCTGCCCATCCTATTGCCCCTGCTCCCGCCCTCGCTCCTGCTCCCGTCCCTACTTTTCCCTCCGCTCCTACTACTACTCGCGCTCGTGCTCCCACCCGTGCCTCTGTCCCTATACCTGCCCCTGTCCCTATACCTGCCCCTGTCCCTATACCTGCCCCTGTCCCTATACCTTCCCCTGTCCCTATACCTGCCCCTATCCCTATACCTGGCCCCGCCCCTACCCCAGCTCCTATCCCAGCTCCTACGCCCGCTCATAATTTTGCTCCTGCTCCTGCTCCTACTCCTACCCCTGCTCCTGCCCCCACCCCTGGCTTTACTCCTGCTACCGCTGCTGATAAGGCTGCTACGGAGGCAATTACTAGGGATGTCGGTGCGGATTATGGTGAGGCTCCTACTAGGGACACAACTCCTCTTAGTCTTAATGATGATCTCCCTGTCCCTAGCCCCATTCCTACTCATGTTCCTCTCATTCCTCCTGGTGTTGGTCTCGACCCGAGTCATCCTCCCGTGATTGCACCGGAAGTTCTTCACTATCCTATCCGGGGTAGCCCACAACCTGGCTACTATGTGGTCGATTCTACGAAAGTTCCATCTCCTCCTCGCACTAACCTAGATGCTTTCACATCTACTATGGAACGTAGCAATCGCAAGCGGGCTAGGGATGACACAAATGATTCAGAGACTCCCCAGCCTCAAAAGAAGAGATCAACTGATACTAACTCGCCAAAGGAGAAGTCTGAATGGACGAGTTTCACCACTCTAAGTGACTCGTCTTCAGATGATTCACGAAGCCTGGATGGTGATGGTGATACGCCAATGGATGAAACCTATAAAGCTTCTAAGGTTAAGAATAAGTCTGTTGAACTAGAGCCCGGCGTGTGGTCTACGATGCGAGATTATCTTGGTCGTATAGGCCGCCAACCTACTCCACAGGAACCGGATGAGGAGCTCTAGGAGGGCTCGGAGATAGGTAAGCAATCTAATCCATGACGATTTAACACAGCCCATGCTGTATATTGGTGTTATAACATAGAAAGCAAAACAGAAGAAGGTAAAAGACCAAAAGTGATCATGATATATACACAATGCAGACTTTAGCATCATTGGATAGATGTTTGATATGCTACTTGATCTTATATTAAATTATAATTCGTATTATCTGCATACCCGATTAGAGATTTGATAGTCGAGTGGTATGTAATATACTGCGTGTTATATATTGTCAGACCAGGAATGCCCCCCGCAAAAAGGTTTAAAAAGGAACCTTAGTTATCGTTATATCCCAGTGGTAAAATGAGCGTATTTTTTCCCAATGCGGACAAGAGAAGGAAGACATCCAACCACATCTTCAATACAACATCGCTAGTATCACCTCAGTCAACGGACAGAGGCTGTATAAGCGGCCGAGTATACTTGTATGCGTAAATTTCCGAAAGCATGTTCTATCCTGCCTTGTCTTGAATATTCTTTCTAGAATGAGATTTCAGTGGTTGCAATCCTATACCTAAGCAATTGACAATTTTGTCATATATAATTCCTGTACATCACTGTGTTCATTCACTATATTGGAGGCAAACTAGGATCTGAAGCCAACAAAGAAGGATGATACGCGAGGTTCTCCCAAAAGTCAGTCTCGAAATCACACAGATCCTGGCTGAAAAATGCAGCCCAGTCACCATTCTCTTCTAGGTGTGACGGCAGTTGCGTTGGGGATTGTATCCCTTCACGGTGTATAGAATCCAGGAACCGCTCAATCGTCTGTGTCGCTTTGGATATCAAGGCGTAGTTCGGATCTCCGCGCCGAACGATGCTCCCTACTTGGACCTGCGCAACAAATATACCGAGATTGAGTATTGTTTTGGACCACGAGTCTCTTCCTTGGGTTAGTGTACGGTGTTGTTTGAGCATTGAAAGAAGGATAATCCCTGAAGCTGGGAGGCCGAAGTGGGCGATCTAACCGGGGTTTAATCTAGTAAGTAAAGGTTCGGATCCTGGAAGTAGATAAACAAACCTTCCAAACGAGTCCCGTTCCAGAGTTGACCAGTTGGTCTCGTAGAAGAATGCTGTCCACTACAATCGAGAGCATTTGCCCCGAGATGTCAAGTATAGATGCATCGGGCTCGGTCAGGGTATCGAGAAACGCTAATTGAAGTAGAAAGAGAACATGTAGTTGGTCCAGGCGTATGCTAGCTAGGAGGTCGCGTTCGAATGCATTCCCAGAGCATTCTTTCAGAGCGCCCGAAAGTCGGAAGCGAGGAGGTAGATTTGCCCATTGAGTTTCGGCTTTTTGCCGGATGATACTATGTCAAAACTTAGTACGAGCAAGAGAATCCCACGTTATATGGCTCTAGCTTACCTAGCTTTGCGACTGAAATTCTCGCGCTGCTTTGATCGGAGCAATTCGAGGACATCTTCTTTCAGTGCAGCGCAGAGGGTCGCCCACCGAATACTTGACATATAGCAAATTGGTGTATCTGTTTTCCATCTGACGACCTTGTCCTCAACCTGTGACGTGTTCCAAACCTGATCCGAACTTGTGGGGGTCAAAGGTACTTGGAAATGGCAGAATCGCTTGCTCATCCGAGGTGGGCGGCCAAGGAATATAGCCACATTCTTGTCTGCCGAGTATGTGGTAGCCCAAGCCGTCTTTCGTAACTCCGCAAGAAAATTCGGAACTGGTGGCTTGGTTTTTTCGACATTCTCATGGTAGCCAAGTGCAAACATCGACGACACAACATCTCCAAGTCTACTCCACGAATGATAGCCTGGATCCTCGATGAGCTGTGGGCTTTACAAACGAAACCAAGGGAGAATTTCTTACTTTGGTCCCCATCAACATGGGTGTGTACAATAAAGTTCTCATACTGCAGAACCAGTTGTAGGTCGTTTAAGCAATCCAGCGAGAGCGTGATATCTAACGCAAGATCACTGAGCTTTGTAGATAGCCTCCGAAGGATAAACTGATCCTTTTCGGTTTTGAACAATTGGGGGAAAAATGATATATCGATTGCTGCTCGGCTCACAGCAGAGAGGAAAATACCTAGACTTTCCCATCGGAAGTTCTGGTCAAGGAACTGTGCAGAGAAAGATTCCATATCGGATGTGGTGCTAAACTTCAAAGGTTCCCGGGAATTTTGAGTTAAGCGTTGGGCATATGCTAAATGCCAGTTGTCTTCTTGTGAGAAGGACGTGAATAGGCGCGTCATGTCTTCAGTACACTTCTCGGTAAAAGGCTCTGCCAGAGCTAGATTCGCTCCTGTTGCTAGCCAGAAGGTAACAAAATCCTTCAGGGCGGCTAGAGGAAATGTGTTTAACAGCTGTCTGAGAATATCCGCGCCTTGGATTAACAAGATATTCTCGCCAGTGGACTGGGACTGCACCAGCACCGTCATGTCTTCAGAAGGATGGTATGTATCGGATGCATGATAGTCTTGGGGGGAGATTTTATTGAAAATAGCGACATGGCTAGATGATCCTAGAAAGCCGGGATTCGGATAGGGATTATTCCTTGGAGTGAAAGATGGTTGGGCCGGAGATAGCCGACTGCAGATTCCGGTGAGCATGTGGGAATAAACCGAATATAATCACATATTGCATACCTAGGAGACTGGAGGGGTGTAGAGCTCTCCACCCTTCTTCTCTTGAACGGGGTCGTTCGGTAAATGCAGATTGCAGCTCTATCGTTACTTATACACCGAGTACATGCCGGCCGCTTATGATCACAGGCGACCTTTGCTTTTCGGCAAGCTTCACATGCTGCCAGTCTTGAAGCCATTGATACGTGGTGAAGAAGGATTACGGAGCGGAGCGGAGAACTGGGAATCTTCGGAGTGATCTGATTTTCCCCGCAGATAACATTCTACCTACAAGTAGTCATGGGGGATGAATACATGGATAATACACCGACAACTTGCTTTTAGCAAATTTAAAATGTCTGAACACAATATTGGGTTATAATTAAGTCTTTGATCATTGTCAAAGATATGGTCTGTACAAAGTTGCATATGAAGTGAAGTGGTCATGTGCGTGTGTATAAACATATAAACATAACCCGCCACTATCACCACAATCGCCACGCATTCGACCCAGGAGTTTTCTGAAGCTCCCCCACCACCTATACACCTATACAGTCCCAATGCGAGGACCTGATCTACGATAACACAAACCCACGATCCAAAAATTGATCCCCTCAAATACCCTAATCTACCTCCCGAGTTTCAAAATGTCACAAAACGCCCCATCCTCAGACGGAGCCCCCCAAGGAAGTGCGTTTCCAATCCCCCAAACACCAGGATGACACTGCAGCGCCGGTTTCCGGCTCTCCGTGTCAAATGGAAATAAATACCCAGCTAACCACTCGGAACCAGTTAACCTCGCCTCTCTTTCCGTTCCTCAGCTCCGCGCACTCCAAACCCGCCTCACCTCCGAATTGGAACACCTGACCACCTCGCACTCGAAGCTGCGCGCCGCCCAAGCCAAGTTCCGCGACTGCGTGCGCTCGATCAATGACGGCGTAACTGGAAACGAGAAGAAGGGAACTGATGGCCGGGATGAGATCCTCGTGCCCCTCACTAGCTCGCTGTATGTCAAGGGCCGTTTGACGGATCGCGAGAAGGTGCTTGTTGATGTCGGAACTGGATTCTATGTTGAAAAGGTATGTGATGGTGGGGCTATATTTAGCGATGTCGGTGGTGGGAATCGGTCGGGCTGACGATTTATCTTTTTTTTTTTCAGACTGCTCCTAAGGCGATTGCATTTTACGATGTTAAGGTCAAGGGCTTGGAGGCAAACTTGCAGGAGTTGGAAAAGATCGTACAGACCAAGAGCTCGCAACTACGCATTGTAGAAGAGAGTGAGTTGGCTTCTTTCCTGGATAATAGGAAGCGGGATTCCGATTTCCTTACAAGACCCTTTTTCTTTCGTTTGCTAACCTCTCGCCTATAGCATTGAGGCAGAAGATGCTCTCAGAAGGTGCTCCTCAGGCCGCTGCGGGCTAAACTCGACCCTCATGGTATGAATAGGTCAACGTGACTTCCCATAGAGAAATCCAAATCGAAATCATATACAGGGTTTATACCTCCCATTTTGGAAGCAAACTGGAGATGAAGTACGATCAGAAAAACGAGAAGAGAGGACCACAAATTCAGTGCCGAACGGGTTCTCCGATATTGGAAACCAGGAGTAACTTCACATATGAATTCGAACTTTTATTACTACATACCTAAACGATCTTGGCTCGATAAGCAAGCCAGACGGTATTAATACCTGTTTTCTTGTGTTTTCTTTTGTTTTCTTTTCTGTCTTTTTGTCTATTTTGTTGTTTTTCTTCCGTTTCTTTCTTCTTTGAATAGGCCCTTGTGGTCCCACGAGATGTGACAAGTTTGCGTGATTTTGCTGACTCGACTAGAACAGGCTTCCAAGATCAGTCTCGAGGACCTCGGGCATCTCAGCGCCGGGATTCGCCAGCATCCGCGCAATCTTCTGGACAGCGCTCATGAAAACACTCAACTGCTTCTCTTCGTCTATCTTTCGGGTTTCAGCCTCCTTGCGGGTCTCATCATCCGTTTTCTGCTTGTCCGTCTGTTCCTGGTCATCCCCCGGCGGGGGGAAGAACACCGACAGACACTCATCCTTAGAAATGTCGACAGGCTTGACATCGGCCTGTTCACCTAGAATATCATCCCAGCTAGGATTGAACAAAGATGCCCCCCAAGACACTTTAGGGGTCGTCGACCAGTGACCAGCCGCATACGTGTACTCGTCGAAGCGGGCGAGCTCGAATACATGCGGCGATTCTTTAACTCGAAGCTGAATCGCGGCCTTTTCAACAAAGCGCTTGACTGGCGAACCATAGGAGAACCTCGCCTTGCGCTGGGGAGCACATCCGATGTTCTTTGCATTTGGGCTCCATTGGAAACCGATAGAACGTATGAATTTATCCAGCTCGGGGGACATTTCCCTATCCGGGCATAGTTCAAGAGCCTTCACTTCAAGTTGCCAGTCGGACCTAGATTCAAAGTCAGCTTCCAGTAAACTTCCGAAGGAATACATATGGAAAACAAACCTTTCAAAGTCAATCATGCTGATCTGCATTGGCATCTGACGATCAACAGGAGCACTGATCTGTTTTGATTTGAAACAGCGGATTCCGTTGACTTCAAACTCCTGCGAGCCATGTGGAATAGAGAATTTCGCTTCCACACGAATCACTAAATCATTGTTCACTTGGTACTCAAAGTTGGCGGAATATCTAGGCATCAAATTCAAGAGGGATTCGATTTTGGCTTTACCCCAAGGCTTAAGAAACTTTGATGTCATGATCCGGTCGAAGATCTCATCTTGCTGCAGCCGGATTCTAAAAAGATAAGTCAGTCAGCAAACCACCAGATTCGGGCCAAAGTGATAACATACCCCGGAACCAAACGCCCTTCGGTGTTCATATGGGTAAGCATCTCGCGAAACTCTGCGAACTCATAAGAGGTGCCATCTTTCGGCTTGCGCCACTGTTGCAGTGTGAACGAGCCGAACTTTGCACGCATCTGCAAGAATCCCCGAAATTGAGGAATCACATGCAGTGCTTTCCTAAGGCGAGTGGTGACAATGCTCTTGTTGTTGGCCTTGATCTCATTCGCAGTGGTCTCCCAGCTCATGGCTACGTCTGGTGCCAGTTCCGGTCCACAGAGAACGGGTTGTGAGATCCCACCAGACTTCTGCAGGATGACGTGGGTTCTCATAAGCTCTGTCCGGGGTGCTGCAACAAGAAACAGCTTGATTTCTGTCTCGTGTTGGACCATTAACCTCTCCCACAGCTCTCGGAATTGAGATGCAATAATGCATATATCCCGCTCATTATTTCCGGACATGAAAAGATAGTCCGGAATACCAGGCTTAATGTAGATATTCACGTCAAATTTGAAGCGAATGAAATCGAGGATCTCACGCCGGGCGGTAATAAAGTAGTTCAGCGAGGGGCCATCTGAAGGCCAGAGGAAAGCAAGCTGTAGTATCAAGGTCTGTTAGTCTCCATAAAGTACCAAAGCAACCAGGGCTGGCAGGGGGCTTATCCATACTGTGTAATCCGCGGCAATTCTCGGTGGCTGCCGCATCTCGGACAATCTTTCCTCGTGGGTTTCCTGCGACTGGGCATGTGCAACCTTCGTATTTGAATGCGCGTGTATTTTGGCCCAACGCGATGCTCTAGGCAAATCCCGCGGCTGCATCAACCGACTCAACATATCTTGAAGTATATTTTGGGTCTGCAAAACCTGATTTTGCTTACCCCAGATGTGAACGAGCTTTAGGGCTATCAGCATATCCAGTCCCTCACATGTTGGAGAGTTCTAGGGGCAACTAACTTTAGCATTTCCCGCGCTGATCCTCACATAGGCACCAGTCTCCTCAGTAATTCTCTGGCGGAAATCGATGTTGGAAGTTTCTCCTGGGGTTACTTGTCTAATCCTTGAGTGTCTGCGTTAGTTCCAAGACCAAGGACGGCAAAGCTCTATATACTCACTTTGCGTGGAATAATTGATATTCATAAGGCAAACGATAAGAAGCTATTTGACCATTAGTAATGTGCTTGCGGTTGATGTGACCACCCGTGGACATGTACCATCTGGAGAAAGGCCCTTGCGCCACTTTGCCTTGGAATGATAGTCATTTTGCCCTGGTGCGAGGGGCGGATTCTTGGTTCTTTGTTTCGAATCAGTTGAGATATTATCGCCCCTTTTTGACTGAACCCGTGATTGTGATGGGGAAGTATGCCCTCCCCTGAGAGGGGCACGCTGACCCGATTTGAGATTACTTGCCAAATGCTGCTGCTGTTGTGCGAATGTATTAGAACTGCTGGTGTTAGGCCCGCGTTCATCAAATATTGGCCCCTCTGGTGCCTGAACTCGGCCTGCTCTGGGTCCAGTAATAACTGTCTGAGTTGGAAAGGTGCTTTGACTTGGAATCGGCGACCGTGTGGGTGCAGGGGGTAAACTTTTGAGAGACCGACCAGTTACGGGCACCGTTGAGGTTGGAAGCTGTGGCAGATCGTCAATAGTAGAGGAATCATAGTTCATATCCTCAAAATCATCCTCAACATCATGCCCAGCACGTTTATCCTGCGCGTACTTGTCATAGTCTTGTCGGTAGATGGTCCCCCGACCAAAATCTGGACCGGGGCCGTAGTTGGGCAGTTCCCATGCTAGATAGGTCAGTACATACAACCAATGGTTTAATGGAAACAAAGGTATCTCTCACATTTGGCATTGAGACGCTCCCAGCTGGCAGAATTTATTAGCTGGACATACCTTCAATATCCGTGCACAAGATATACTCACTCGTTCTCGTATGACTGGGGCATGGACGCCATTTCAGCTGAATCAGGTAGCGACGGGGTGTTCGATGACCACAGTGATGTCTCACAGGACGAATTGTTTGGAATAGGCCAAGCCGAAAGAAGGCGACACGTTTATTTCAGAAATATCAAACGGGTAAGTGAAAGAAATGCAAGTTGTATTAAACCGGTCCTTGTCGATGAGTGTGCGATGGAACTGAACACAAATCGATTGCGGGGGCGACTAGGTGCACAACTTAAAGAAAGTAGAACAGAGGGAAAGTAAAAGAAAAATAAAGGGTAGGAACGAATTGGAGCGAAGACGATGTGTCGGGAAACTGAGAAATTGGAGATGAAGGAGAGTTAGGTACATAAGGCTAAAGCTTTTTATCTCGGGGTTAGGTTAATTAAAGAGTAGGAGCATCCATTAATCCATTCTCGCCTGGGTAGAACCGCGCGGGAGTTACTTAAAGAGTAAGAGTAGATTCATCCATTCTTTTGCGCAAATTGATTATATACAAACTATGTAGCAGCCGGGAGACCGCCCAGGCGCCTAGGTGTGTATATAGCCCTAGAGCACATCGAGCTCGTCCTGTATTTGAATTTCTCGCTATAATGAGAAGATATTGATGGATCAAGATACCCGAAAATCAATCTCCTCGTAATAATCATGTGCGTGGTTCTTGTGCCGTAAATGTGTTGGTGTGAAAGGTGAAAGAGACCTACTGCATTTCCTTTTGATACTATTGTGATATAATTCTTCTAAGTAGTGAGAAATCTAGTTGAAACAAATCCGGTCGAGGTCATCCATATAAACATGATCCACTAACTACAAAATGTTAGGGGTTTGGAATATTACTGTTCCGGTATATATACATGATCTATCTATTATTCCGCAATCTTGCATCTGGAAAATCTGATCAACTTCTCTTTTTTTCAATTATTGATATGGCATTTGTCGTCAATCAGGAAAGATGTGTGATGGTACATATAACTATAGACTAAGGCTGTCTTCAAAATATTCTAGGATTCTCTAGGGCGTTGGTAGGTAGGCTACAGATGTTTAGGGGAGCACAATGAGCGAATCGCAGCATCCTGTGTTAAAATAGACATTTAACGTATAAGACAATCAGGATCACGTAATTTGGATGAGTAAATCCAGTTTATAACATGCATCGTGGTAACACCGAGATAGAAAGGTGTTGATAGTTTGACAACTATACTGCAAAATTGTGTGATATCTTTGAAGTCAGAGCTGCAGTAGACTTACAGGATGAATGCACGTGTACAGTATCAGTTGAAAGCATCCATATTTTATGTAGTTTATATGTACAATGTACTCCATGTCTAACTATAAGATAGATGTATTTGATTGGCCAGACCTCCTTGCCGGACTAAACCCAAAAGGGACGAAAGTGGACAACGCGTCCAGCGCGGTTTCTCCTTCCTCATTGCACGTTCTGCCCGGTCATATCTCTCGCGCCCCCAATGAGCGATAGAGATTCAGATTCTTCACCTCAGAGGCGCAGTGCCCACGAGCGTGCCCAATGGATGACCAAGGGAGCTCTAGTTCGAGACGATTCTGACGATGAATTAGGCGTTGAGGACCTTCCGTGGGACTGGATTTACGATCAAAATGAAGAGATTACCCAGGAAAGTGAAGCCAAAGATGATACCCCGGTGAAACGTAGCCGCAGACGATCCTCCCGACCCGCTCGCCAAAGACGCAAGATCGTTGGTGCCAAGATGGGTCAATTCCAATGCAAAGTCGGCGATGTGATTCTCTTAAAGTCCCCCGAAGCTGGAAAGGACTGGGTTGGCATCATTACAGAATTTTTGGAAGAGGAAGACGAAGATGAAGATGACGAGGTTGTCAAATCCGCCAATATTATGTGGTTCGCATCCCCCGACGAATTCATGAGCACGAGAAACAAGCGCCGGACCGACGCCTTGCCCAACGAGCAGTACATCACACTCGATTTCAACAGCAACCCCTTGACATCAATCAGCGGCAAAGGGGCGGTCATGTCTCAGGGCGCCTTCAGTGCCAGATATCCGAATGGGCCTCCAAAGAACAAGACCGAATTAGCGGAATACAACAAGTGCATCGTTTGTCGACGAGGCGTGAACCAGGTTCAAGGACGGTACACCGATGAGTTTATCTGGGAGCAGGTGTACAACGAAGACGACATCCAACATCTGATCAATTGGGTCAGGGATGGCTTGAAGGCTTCCAGAAAACGCAAGGTTGCGGACGATGAAGTGAGTTAAGCCACCCGGTTCCAATTGCAGAAGCGGTACTGATTTTTTGTTATCGTAGTATGTCGATGCTAAGGAGACCACGGCACCTACGACCCCAAGAAAGAGACAGCGACTGGCAGCCACGAATGCCACGCCACAATCACAGCGCAAGAAGGCCCTAATGACTCCGACGCATAAACGGTAAGAAACGGCGAATATAAATGCACCTTGTGAATTAAGACTAACTATATCAGGATCGTCGTGAAAAAGCCACTTGAGTTTACTCCTCTGGGTACCCGTGTCCTCTCACCCACACATTTCGACTCTCCCTACCGTCAAGCTCGGAATTTGCTACACGTTTCCACTGTTCCGGACTCATTGCCGTGCCGAAAGACCGAGTTCAACACGGTATACAACCATCTTAGTGCTGCGATCATGGAAGGTACAGGCGCTTGTATCTATATCTCCGGTACCCCAGGCACTGGCAAGACTGCCACGGTCCGCGAGGTAGTTGCACAGCTAAATGGTGCCGTGCTTGAAGAAGAGATGGATGATTTCATCTTTGTCGAGATTAACGGCATGAAAGTCACCGACCCGCATCAATCCTACTCTTTACTATGGGAAGCCTTGAAGGGCGACCGAGTATCACCTTCCCACGCATTGGATCTTCTTGAAAGAGAATTCTCAAATCCCTCCCCTCGTCGGGTCTCTTGTGTTGTGCTCATGGACGAGTTGGATCAGCTTGTCACAAAGAATCAGTCTGTCATGTATAACTTCTTCAACTGGCCTGCGCTCCGTCACTCGCGCCTCATTGTCCTAGCTGTTGCAAACACCATGGATCTCCCCGAAAGAACTCTAAGCAACAAGATCTCCAGTCGCCTTGGTTTAACCCGTATCACCTTCCCAGGATACCGTCACACAGACCTGATGGAAATTATCAGTACCCGCCTGGCCAGTGTACCGGGCAATATCGTTGATGCAGACGCCGTCCAATTCGCGAGTCGCAAAGTAGCCGCCGTTAGCGGTGATGCTCGACGAGCTTTGGACATCTGCCGTCGAGCCGTTGAAATCGCCGAGCAGGCAGCCGACGAGGCTGCTGCTGCAGATGAGGCCAAAGACGAGACAGAGTCACTACCCCCCACACCCAGCAAAACTCCCGCCCGGCGCAACAAGGCTATTACAGCTAAAGCAGCTGGAGAATCAGCCGTCGCTAAACCTCCTGCGAAGGGCCAACCGGGGCGCGTCACTATTGCCACTATCAAGCAAGCCATTCACGAGGCTACATCAACTCCACTCCAGCAGTCCTTGCGCTGTTTACCACTATCAGGAAAGCTCTTCCTCGCTGCCCTACTCGCCCGCGTCCACCGGACAGGCATTTCAGAATCTACATTCGGCGATGTCCTCGACGAAGCCCGCCGCATCGCCGATGCAGCCGTCGCCGTTGCTGGCGCCGCTGGCGCCGGCGTGAAAGATTTCCTGCTAGGCGGAGGCCCCAGTGCTCGCGTGCGGAGCCTGGGTCATGCGGCCATGTCGCTTATGAACTCCGGTATCCTGGCGCTGGAGCAAGGCTCTGGCTCTAAAAGCGTGCTTGGGGGTACTACGATCCCCACTCGCGGCGACCGCAGTAGTAAAGTTCGGCTCAGGATTGCGGCCGAAGATGTGAGGTCAGCTTTCAGGGAGGATGCCGAGGCTAAAGGCTTTGGTTTGGGTATTGAGCAGTGATAGTGAAGGCTTTTCTTTTCGGTGTTTTGATACGATACGCATTATCTGGAGTTAGTGTAATATCGCACAATAGTTTGCATATGATACCCTTTCAGTCCAGCTGTGTCTTGCGCTCTAGATCGTAAAGGCTACTTGTACGTATGTTGCCCATCCGGGGTCGATTGCCAAGGGTATCATTTGGCTCAATTGGGGTTTGTATCATACAAAACGTTAAGACTCTTTTTCTCAGAGACATGAAACGAACCTTTCCGAGGAAATTCTTCCCGATACATGTTTGAATATTTTAAAATCAAGGGCCTTCCACAGACCGCGCTCAACTCCACATAGTGCCAACAAGAACTTGATGGCAAGAAGAAAAATGAATACAGGGTATTGAGAAATTGGAATGGAGGGTACGAATGCCAGTGATTCTGGTCATCCCTCTAGTACCGCTGTCTACCGAGAGTCGGGGCCCAAGTCAGAGGGTGAGTCTCGGGGGTAGCCTCTTCATCCTGCTTCCAGATCTTGATGGTCTTATCAGCTTCGCCCGTGATAAGACGCAAACCAGTACGATCAAAGGTAGAAGCCATGATACCGGCTTCGGCTTCAAGAGAGCCGGGCTGTGCGGTAGTTTCCATAGATTGGAAGCGGTGGCCAGTCTTCCAATCCCAGAAGGACATGGAACCGTCGTCACCACCAGAGAAGAGAACGTTCTCGTCGTTGACGGCGAGAGAGTTAATGACAGAGTTCTGACCGTCGAAGTTTTGCATGAAATCGCCCTTGGGGCACATCCACTGCTTGATGCTGCCGGTACTGGCACTGGCAAATGTAAACTCGGAGGGGTGAATGGCGAGGTTGCGAACACCCTTCTTGTGGTGTGTGAGAACGCCCATGCTCTTGCCAGCGGCCAAATCCCACAGCCGGACTGTGGAATCCAGGGAGCCGGAGATAATTTGAGGGTCGGCGTCTTGGCACTTGATGTCGGCGACAGTGCCTTTGTGTCCGCCGAGAACGTGTACGTTGCTTCGCGTGCGCATATCCCAAACTCGACACACGCCGTCACGACCACCCGTGACTAACAGATCGAGACGAGG